ACATGTATGTCTTACAAGAACAGTTTCTGAGTGAATTTAATTCACTTAGAATCTACCAAACTATATGGCTCTCATGCCATAAAAACAGAAAGTATACCTTGCCCAATACACAGAAAATATTACAATGTAAACCAGCCATGAAGCATTCTGACTAATGGAAGATAGTCTATTCTTGGCCCTCTCAGCTATCTTGGTTGTGTAGCTAGTGTACAAATATACATGTAACTTCATGTACTCTAAGCGAGTATTGTATGTTCACTTTACAGGTCACAGCGCTCTTATTGGGACCCTTATTGCACCCCTGATGTTACTTGGAGGTCCATTAGTCCTGAGGGCTGCTGCTGTAACAGGTGGTGTCGTTGGGGCCTTATCACTGACTGCTGCCTGTGCACCTGATGGCAAATTTCTGACCTGGGGTGGTCCCTTGGCTATTGGACTTGGTGGTGTTTGCATGGCATGCTTGGGTAGGCTAATAATAACAGAGATAACAGTATCCACTGCCAAATGTTAGCACTGAGAGCTGCTGCATCAAGAGTACTGCATTTTATACAGTGTACATGACTTGTCTTGCTGACTGAAGTGGAATGTGTATCAAGTGACAAGTGCTTTTTATTTATTTATTACAATTTAATGGCAATTAAAATCTAAGTCTNAATTCGTTTGAAACTTCTGAATATGTTTATTTTTGACCTAATGAACACATTGGACTCAAATGAAATAAATGTCTAAATTTTGGTTCATTTGTACCATTGACAATCATTTTCTTGTTTTGTTGGTGAGCTGTGTAGAACTGAGCAAGGTTTTGGCAGTAAACAGGTTAACAGTCTGTTGTGTTTGATTTCCAGGTAGCCTATTCCTCCCTGCCACCTCAGTGGTGGGTGCAGGCCTGCAGTCCATTGCTACATATGGTGGGTTGGTAATCTTTGGAGGTTTTATGTTGTATGACACACAGAAGATCATCAGGAGTGCTGAGACATACCCTGTGCATGCTGACAGACCTTATGACCCTATCAATGCGTAAGTAGACACCTTTTCATTCCAGTGCCAGTCTAGACACTCACTTATTGACGGTCGGTGTCCCCGGGGGAGACACCCGCATGAAAAGGATGGGGTTCCTCGTCGTACCTTTTAGGGGTTAAAAAGGCAGTTTTGATACCTATTAGGGTGTTCATCCTCAAAAGGTCCACAGCAGGAGCTTTTGCGGTAAATATGACAGTAGATAATGTGTTGTTTTACAATTGGCATGTCTTCAGTGGTAGATCCAGACCTTGAGCTGAGGGTAGTAGGGGGGGGGGCGTTTTTTTGTTTTTTGTTTGTTTGTTTGTTTGTTTGTTTCTTTTTTGCTTTCCCTGCCGGCTTTTCTTCCTTCTGCGATTTTTTTTTTTTACCCAAAAAGACCCCTCCCCAAAATCCGTCACTGGTCTTAGGGGTAAAAAAATGTAAGCCACGCCCACAAAACAGGATCTCGGTGCCTCTTAAGGGTTCTGTTCAAAATTTCCGACGAATCCCCCCATCCTTTTTATATGGGAGTCCCCCTCCCCTCCCCCCCTCCCCCCGGGATGATACACGCTGGGTACGTCAAGATGTTTTATTTCATCTTTTGAGCTCAAAGTTCATGGGTCTGCGAACGTAGAAAAAGTATATTTATCAAACAAACAACATCTTTAAGAATCGCAACTAGCAGAAGGCTCCAGATTTCGCGCGGGCAATTTGTTTTGGAGGTTTATGTACGGAGTTGCTCGTTGGACTAAGCGAAAGATAGACTACTCGTAGTCTCCACGATTTCTTAGCTTAAAACCCGGTGCGGTCCATCCAGTGTCAATCAAAGTGTACTAGCGCATTTCCGCAGCAGTCTAGTTGTTTTAGAACAGTTTTCACTCGAGTGTCGAAAGTAATTTGCTTTGATTTGCATTGCCCTGCTGTGGTTCAGTTTCATCCAATCAGGAATAATATTAAAACCGATCGTGACTGGCTCTTCTCGCGCTTCGTGTCAGCCTCATGTTTTTCCTTCGAGTTTCGATTGGTTGACTGGATTGCCTGTGTAATTTTGGTTGTTCAAAGTGGTTACTGTGGTTTCGGTTTTACGATACTCAACTGAAAACCGCTTTAGTTCAGATTAAAGCAAAGTTTGGTACTGAAAACCAGAAATCAAGACCAAGAGAAAGTTGAAAAAAATTGTGTTTTTCTGCAGGTCGATTGGAATATACATGGACACGATCAACATCTTCATCAGAATTTTGACCATTATGGCGTCCTCCAACACGCGCCGAAGGAAGTAGCCTAGACCGGCTGATAAACTGATATTGACGGGCAAAAAAAGAAGATAAACTGTGTAACATTTGTATTACAGTCTGTGATACGGGAATTAGCCGTCACATTTTTCAGAGTACATAACTTAGCTTTCATTTCTCGGAAGGCTGGTTATTGCTATGTCTTTGCTTTGCTAGTAAGGATGGCGCTGCGAAAGTGCATTTTGTTGTTGGAAGCAATGTGATGTGATTAATAGTATTCATTTATTTGATGTCATGTCTTACATGTAGCTTCCTTGGATGTACCAGTGGCCAGATTAAAAATGTAAGAGGCCTCGTATTATTGATCAGTAAGACTGTATATCTCAAGTGGGCTGTGGATTGATTCACTCTTAGATGAGCCGTGAACATAGTGCCGTTAACCTAGTAAACTGCCTCTAATAAAAACAATTACAACCGTCTTATGCTGCTGCTTAGCTCTGTTTTAAGTTATGATAAGAAGAACTGTGTGCAATAACTCTTTGTCACATTTGTGCGAATAAAAATAAAAGAGAATTTGAAGTCATGGGTCGCTTATACCAGCGGTTTGACATACAAACGAGGCAAAATTCTGTGTTGACCTTTTCGACTCATTTTTATACCTTTTTAAATACAAAAGAATATCTAATGGAGACAAAAGGAGAGAAGTAACATTAGTTAGTCATTATTTAGTTTGTTGATCATCTCGGCCCTCCAATATGTTATTACTTTAATTTGTCAAACGCTGTTTAAGATAAACTAAAGGTGTTGCAACCCCGGCAAACAGACCCAACAATTCCAATTCTTTTTGCGTGGTTATTTTTCTCTCGGTGAACGTAACAATATAACAATAAAAAAGCCTTTGACAACGCTGAGTTTGGTTGATGTTTTTTAGGGGTCGGGTAAGCAGCTCTTTTAAGGTCTCTCATGAATGGCTTGATATACTTAGAGAGGACAATACGGTGAACAACAATAAACAATGTTCTTAGCCAAAACAGTAACAGCTCCTAACAAGCAAAAGAATCTCGAGCCCTCAAGAGCTGCTACACTTCGGGGTTTTTTACTCCTTTGAATCGCTTTCAAAGTCCAAATAGTCAAAATATGTAATAGCAAAACAATAGAGCTGACCCCGACGTGATTCGAACACGCAGCCTTCTGATCTGGAGTCAGACGCGCTACCATTGCGCCA